AAAAAAAAAAAAAAAAGCATGATAGCTGCAAATAATAAAGTGCACATAACCATATAAAGCATACATAGCTTGGAAAATAAATAGGGTTATAAATAAATAACTTTTAAAAGAAAGAGAAAAGGTTTCCATATTCTTCTTGGCTGACATCGCAAAGTAACACAAAGTAAGTGCGTCTAGGGAGAAGCTAGCCAGATTAAGCAGACATCAACACGGCCAGTTGTGTGACATGCCCTCATCCTCAAAACCAGGAGCAAGTTGAAAGAAAATACATACGAGTTCACTTGCAGCGAGAATAAACACCGTTTGTGGTGACCACTAGAAGACGTGGCGAGTGGCGTGTAGTATAACAGATCCCAGACTCCTAGAATCTGTTTCAGCACATGTCTCTGTTGGTTCTTCATGTGGTGCCATAATGGCTGAGGAGACGCCAGCTTGAGCAGACGCAAACAGACTGACACAACAGAGGGAAGTGTCAGCAGTTTGATGGCTGAAGCTCCAGTTGGCTGGGAGAGAGGCATGAAATCGCTCTCATTTTTTATCTGAACGCACATCAAGCACATCAGCCGCTTTTGTCATCATAACTGACATTGATGCAAAATGGCAACACTAGTTCCTCTTCTGCCATCTTTCATATTTAGCCAGATATCGAGCAGCTTCTCCTAGTTAATCGGTATTAGTGATTAATCAGCGAACATGAGGTGTTAGTGGCTGGTCTTTTCTAATAGCAGTTTGGTTGGTTTATACATTCAAAATACACTGTGACATTTAATGAATTCACGGACGCAGAGTGCTGAGGAGCTAAATAAAGCGTGAATGGTTGATAATGAATTAGCCTTACGTTGGCGGCTCCCAGAAGCAGCAGTGTGGGTCCTAAGCCCAGCGTGTAAATAGAACGGAAGATGATGGTGACCAGGAACGCCAGGATACCTCCACGCTGGGGAAGAACAAACAACGTGAAGGTGCTCACGACCACTGCCACCCAAAGCAAGATGGACAAGAACGGTGGCAAGACACCTGAGGGAGAAAACAAAGAACTGCATGAAAAATTCTGGGGTGAACTACCCCTTTAAATGTTATTATGTATGACCCTATGAAATCAGTTTTATTTTTTCTCAAATTCTGTTTTAAAGGTTTAATTACATTTTAAAATCTTAATCAAAAAGGATGTCTAATCAACTGAATTCATAAATCGTTAACAATTTAATAATTCAAATTTTTTAAATAATAATGCCCTATGAAATGTGTTTTTTTAAAGATATTTTGTGTTGTCTTAATTTTTCTTGATTCTGTGTTTTATAATTTAATACAAATTCATTATCAAAAACTGTGATAATCAAATGAAAGAATACAATTTTAATGATTTAATTATTCCTTTAAAATCTAATTTAATGAAATTCCTTTCCTTTTTTTAGCAAATAAAGTGCTGCACAACAGAGGTATAAGAGTTTAAATTTAAACATGGAACAAAAATTGTGATATTCTTGTAAAAAGAATTTAAAATTTTTTATTTTAATTGCTATTACTTTGAAAAGTACATTCTACAGTACAATATATTTCTATTGTCACAATTTGTTCAAGTTAAACCAATCTTCGTCAGTTTGTAATGAAGAGCTTCGAGTTTCTGCATGCATTTGCAGCAAGATACTTCAGATTTAATCTCATTTAAATTTAATATAATTTTTTTTTACAATTTAATATTCACAGACACTAGTCCATATCACAATTTGATTAATCATATATCCCTACTTTTTATTCATCCAAATTTTGCTACATTTTGTGACATTTCATGTCACAGAAATCATAAGGACATAATTATGGAACTTTTTATATATCTAAAATCACAGCCATACCTTCATCTCCATCATCTCCAAATGGGTAGAAAAGAGCGACAGCCAAGTTGATTAGCACAGCCATGTTAAAGGAGATACTCTCCCATAGAGATATATGTTTTGACACCCAGAAAAGTGGTGTATTATCTGCAAACACACACCAATACATCAGCATAATGACTCTGACACAGACTCGAACTGGTGATAAATTGTTACATTGTTTTTTGCACAAAGCAAAACAACCCACTTCTTATTTTCTTCTGCCACCTCATCTCATTGTAGAGGTCATCAAACTGCTGGAAGAAGTCATTGACCTTGCTGCCCTGGTCATCTCGCTCTGTTGTGGTGAACACACGCACTTTTGATTCTTCTGTTAAGTACTCGCAGATGTTGGGCACAGGAAACACGATCTGCTCCATTGTGCGGTCATGGCGGACGATCTGAATAAAAAATAAAAAAATGGGAAGATCAGTGATCAATCATGTTTAACTAATATATTTTTTACTTAAATTGTCTGATAAAAGCAGTGGTAAGTAAACGAGACTTTAAATGCACCATTAAAACTATAGAAAAGCCAAAAAAGGTGCAAGTGATAAAGGTGCAAATTAAATTAGATAAGATAGATATCTTCATGAACTCTCAAACTCTCATACCTCTATCTGAGCGGTGTGGTTGGCATAGTATAGAAGCGCTGCCTCTCCTTCTATGGTAGGGTCTGGGCCAGGTTTTAAACTCTGCTGAAGATTTTTTCTGTGGCGTGCCAACTGATCATCAAAAACACTTCAGTCAACATGACAGATTCAACAGATTCAGAAACAACATCAATATAAGGGTATTAAACTCTCAGTAGTTGATTTGTCTACTAATAATGTCCATCAGCTGACATACATGGATTATAGGAAAAGTCTTAAAACCATGAACATTTGCTCCACACTTTCATCTTCACCTCATCTCAAATTATGCATTGCATTTAATAAAAAATGCTAGCTATGAAAATAATAAGCCATTTTATTCCAGAAATGTAATTTCCATCACTGTGTGATGGAAATGACGAAGGTGGAAATTACATTTCTGGAATAAAATGGCTTATTATTTTCATAGCTAGCATTTTATGTATGCTAAATACAAGATTAAATAACAACAAGACTGACAGGAATGATACCTGGAAAGATGGAAAAGATACCTGACAGACAAAGAAAAAAAAGAAAAAAAAACTACCCCTTTAAATACCGTCACTACCCAACTAAATGAGATAAGTTATAAAAATTACATTTAGACATATACAGTGGGTACGGAAAGTATTCAGACCCCTTTAAATTT